TCTTTTCCTATTTCTTCTATTTTTTTCTCCTCCCTCCTTCTATTTCTCTCCTTCTATTTCTTCTTTTTATTCTTTTCCTTCTCCTGCTATTTCTCCTTCTCCTTCTATTTCTTCTCCTTCTATTCCTCCTCCACCTCATTATTATTATTATTTTTCCTTCCCTTGTCATTCCAGAAACTGCACGAAGCCGAGATCCAAGGGCTGATGGAGGATTTGGACCGGAACAAGGATCAAGAGGTCAATTTCCAGGAATACGTTACCTTCCTGGGCGCTATGGCCATGATTTACAACGAAGCTTTGACCAGCTAGGCTGGACAGAGGGGGAAATTGGGGGTTGGGGGCGGGGGGGCTTGAAAGAAAACCAGGCCCTGGGGAGAATTTAAGGAAGATTTAAGAAGGAAAAAAAAGAAAAAAAAGTTTTTTTTCCCAACTTTCCGACTGGTCTTTTGTCTTTTTGTCGTCTTCGTTCGGAAAAGGAACCATTCCTCCCCCAAAAAAGAGTTAAAACGTTTGCAAAAAGTTGTATTTCCATCATCCCTACTCCTGGGTGTGAAGAAGGGGGGGGGAGAAATCTGCTTTCCATATCGATTGGGGAAGGTCCTCGACTTATGACTGCAGCTTGTCGTTAAGTGAGACGCGCCCCTTATGGGGAAGGCGACTCCACCCCCCACCCATGGGTGTTGACTCAGATCACGGGGCGGGCGGGGGGGGGGGGGAGAGTTTGGTGAGTCAGAGAATCCAACTTCGAATTGCCCTTTGCTCGTGGGATGGCCGTTTTTTTTCAAGGAGCGTCGCAAATGTGGAACGGACGCTAAGTTGAGGACTCCCCGTACGCCGGAGGGGAGCTGTTTTGGGTAGATACAGGAGTGAAACAGGGGAGGAGTTCGCGGTTCCAATCATGGCTTGCCAGCAGAGGCATAGGATCTCCTGCTTGGGCCGGGGGTTGGACTAGACAACCTCCGGGGGTCCCTTTTTCAGCCTTAGGATTCCAACCTGCGTTTCGACAAAGCTGCAAAAAGGCTTCTGGCAGGGGAAAAAAAACCTGCTTTTAAGGAACCTCAGGGGGCTAGCACACATCCCCCCCCCTTCTCGATTCCCACGGCTCGTTCCCAAATTATTTAATTAATGACAATTTAAATCATTACAAAAAAATTATCGCGCCTTTTTTTAAAACGGGGTGGGGTGGGGGGTCCTGTCAATCAAGTTCGACAGCGACCCAGCTCGGGAGTCGCCGAGAGCCGAAACTCACCCCAAGTACGACCACGACGCGTCCCAACGTCGACGGGTGTTAAGCGAAGTTTGCTCTCCCCCCCCCTCCTTCCCCTTTTTAACTTTTCTTGCCACCGTCGTTAAACGGATTGCTGCAGCGGACGAGTTAGCGACCTCGTCGTTAAGTGAATCCGGATTCCCCCGCCCCTTCTTTTTGAATTTTCCGGTCAGAAAAATCGCAAAAGGGGGACGGACGCAAACGACTTGTCCTAAGTAGGAATCGCGGGATCAGGGGGGAACGCTGCAAAGGTTTTGAACTGTGGAAAAACAGTGCCGTTGGACGGGCCGCTAAACGAACCGTTGTAAGTGGAGGACTACCTGTATGGCTGAAGGATGACCCTGGGAGGAAGGATTTCCCGATATACCCCCCCCCCCCCCGCAAGCCAATCCCATCAGAGCTAAAATGGGCCCGGGGTTGAGGATCTCGCAGGCCAGGTTGGGGTGGGTGGTCCGGCCAATAAGCTCTGCTCAAACAAACCATGGTTTCATGCAAGCCCGCCACCACCGCTCTCTTCTCTCGGATGACAATTTTTGTCGTGGGAAAAGGAAACCCTCCGGGAAAGGAATCATTCCTCTTCCCTTGAATAAAAAAATCAGAATTAGGGAGGTATTTTCTCCTCCAAAACGGCTGGAAATCCCCGTGTTTAAGAGCCAGGGGGCGCCCTCGATAAACCCAGATCAAACAATCCACAATTTCATGGAAGGCCACCATCTCTCTCTTCTCTGGGATGACAAACTTTGAAGTGGGGGGAAAAAAGGGAGCGCTCAGGAAAACGTCCCCTTGAACGAAAAAGCAGAATTAGAGAAATATTTTTTCCCCCAAAAATGGCTGGAAATTCCCGTTTTAAGGGCCGGGGGGGGGGGGGGCGCGCTCTTGATAAACCCTGATCGAACAAACCAGTTTCTTGCAAGGCCACACCTTCTTTAGCACACAGAGGGGTACGATGGTTGTGCGGGAAAGAATGCACCCCTCTTCCCATGAACAAAAAATAAAAAAAGGGGAAATAGGGAAGAGATCCTTTTAAATTGTTGGAAATCTTTGCTTTGGAGCCATCCGGCAGGGAATGATAAGCGGAATCGAGGAAAGGTAAGAAAACCTGCAGATCCTGCTCTGCCCTTGCTCTCTGCACATGCTCTCAGGGATATCCTTGCATCGTGGCGCTCTTGGATGGAGCTGAATTCGGATTCTGGACTCGACGTCACTGGATGTGGGGGGCATTTGGGGGCGGGGGGGGGGGGAGTGAGGGAGGCCCACCACCGCACCTCCCAAAAGTGACCACTGACCTGGCTCAAAGCTGGCTGGGAAGACAAGACGGGACGGAACGGAGTCGCCCTCCCAAAGGAGCCGAGCTGGACTGGCCGGCACAAACGGAAAAGGCCATGCGCTCGCTCTCCGTGGCAGTCTGGCTCTGTACACACACACACACACACACACACAATTGGAAGATGGGTGCGTCCGGAGGTTGTGACCGGCTAACAACTGCCTTATACTTGTCGATATATTCTGATTTTAGGTCAGGGGTGCGAGAGAGAGAGAGAGAACAACCACAAACGGAGAACGGGGAACGTCATGATAATTCACATGTATTTAAAAAATAATAATAAAATCATTCTGGTTCATGTCCTCCTCAAAGGGGAGGTTAGTGGAAGGAGGCGACAAGCCGGGTCTGTGGCTGACCCCAGCTTGGGGGGTTGGGGGGGGTTGTCTTCCCCCCATTTCCCCCCCCCCCCCTCCCCCCCCCCCCCGGCCCTCGGCTGCTCCGACGGATTAAGAATGCAAAAGTTAGAAGTGCCTTAAACTAGGAAAACGATGCTCCTTCATCTCTCGTGGGGGGGGGGGGGGGGGGGG